GCGCCCGAACCCGCGCTCGTGCGACACCCGAGGAGCGAGACCAAGAACGCGCCCAAGTGGTGGTCGGAGGTCAGAGCCTTCAGGTAAAAATTGAAAGATTGCGTTGAATTATTAGTTGTTGTATGAGTAATAAATAATTCATGTTGAATGTTTTTAGGATGACAAGATTGTTATTCGTATGCCTGAAGTGAACCCTCAAGACGCTATTTTGGCACATGTGCTCAAGAGGAAGGAAGAGGAAAAAATAGAGTCTAAGGATAAGGACAATAAGAAGCATTTGGATGAAGTATGGTCATTTGTGTTGAATATTATTTACAAGTATATTTGTTTATATTTGGAATTTTGGTTTAGGCATATGTGCACTCGCAGACTGCTGCTGAGCAACAGTTGCTGTCAATGAAAAATCAAATCGATGAGGAGCGCATGAGGAGAATGCGGTAGGTTTAATAAAATAATCTTATTCAAATTCAACCTATTTCAGCTTGAATTTTTCAACTATGATGATTATATATGCAGGCATGCTGCAATGACTGGCCGCGACTGGGTCGAATATTTGGCGCGCAAACGTGAAGGAATACCCTCCAAAATGGTCCTGAAGCAGCAGCAGCAGCAACAGCCGGTGTATGACGACAACTCCAAGTAATAGCAAATAACTTTTAAAATTGATTGTATTAATATAATAATTTGCTTGTACATTTTTCTAGAATGGAAGACGACGACGGCAAAGATTACAATCGCGAGTTGTTGGAGTCGGAGGAAGACGGCGGCGGTTCTGTATCGCACAGTGCGGCCGAATATGCGACTAAACCTATGAATCAGGACCTTAGCCCAAATTTCAATAGGACTGTCACGAGTGACGACGACACTGGCGAGATGACGGCGATGACGAAAAGAAATCCTTATGATGACTTTGCGGCGCCGCCGATCGAGCAGGTTGACACGTCACCGGAGTAAGCCTCTAAATTAATTTATAATTACATTATTTTATAATCAACAATATTACCTTATCATAACTAATAATCATTTGTTATATTTCATTTTCATCATTTGTTATACTTGCTTGTTATAATTGATTTCATTATTTATTTTACTCGCTTACATTCTTTTTTGAGTTCATAATTATTTGAGTCATATCATTTAAAATCATGATTTACATTCTTATACTTTACATTCATACTACTTTTTCTCACAAACTCACATGTAGTACTAACAGACACTAAAAGCAAATTACATCTTTCATATGATCATTATAATATGTTCCTTAACTATTGATTGATAACTGATATAAATTGATTGCTCTATATGAATTTTAGCCCTCCACCGCAATCCATCCCTACAAGTTTGAAGGCACACGACAGAATGCGAACTCATGATTATGCACCTGAAACCTATTGCGAGGCTGAAAATGAGGGGTATGTTGAAAATGAATTCATTAGTTGTTACCTATCATTCATATCCATTATCATAATTTATTATCAATTTTGGTTATTTTTAGTTCCGAGCTTGTGCCCTTCGGTAGCGGGGTAGAACAATTTGTCTCCGATAACGAAAAGGTTGGTCCAGGAATGGGTTCATCAACTTCGGGAGGATTTGGACGCACGGCCAGGGCGCCAAGTGGGACCGTGCTGGCAGCCAAGACCAAGAAATACTGTTAGTAATCGAAAGTAATTCAATTCAAATGTATATCAATAATTACGAATCTTCCTATTTCAGCTTCCGCCCAGCACCATCTGCCCTCATCGGCCACTTGTCACCTGGCCAGGAAGCGCCGTCAATTCGAGGGCCCCAAACAGGTGGCGGCCTACGGCACCTATGCTAGCAGTTCTCTTTTTAGCTCGGGTTCTCAAAAGGCCTCCTTCTCTTCGTGTTGCAAAAAGAAGAAGAAAAAGAAGTCTAAATGCTTTAAGAAGAAGGAGAAGAAACTCAAGTGCCTTATTGAGGACAAGGAGAGCGAGGAGTCTAGGAGGCCGGCTTGCAAGAAGGAGCCTTGCTGCCCGAAGCAGAAAATTGTACATGAAATTAAATATCATTTTCTAATATGATTAACTTATTTGTTTCAAAAATTTAAAAGCCATTCGATGTTGTTATACAGCATATTTTCTGTGTAGTGATTTTTTTTAACTCTACAGGATAAATCTGAGAATCAGACTAAGATTGTTTGCAAGAAGGGCGCCAATAAGAAGGGCAAGAAGAAGAAGAGCAAATGTAAGAAGCAGAAACGCGACCCTTGCTGTAAACCACCAAAAAAGCAAAAAGTGAAAGTAGGCCATTAGCAGCCAACGATTAAAAACAACTAGATCGAACTGAATTTTAAAATCAGTGAAAAATTATGCAGATACATTAAGCCTTATAATTGAACTAGATCGATTTAAATTTTGTAATCTGTGACATGATTGAACAATTTACAACATTTGCAAACAACCTGTTTGAAAATGTTGGAGATTAATCTAAAAATGTTGGAAATTGTATGAAAGTTCTGCTAATTGTCTGAAAACGTTGCAGATTGTTGAAAAATGTAATAGATTGCTTATCTAAATATACATTGAGCATTAACATCGAACTAAATCGAACTAAATTTAATAATCTACCATTTTCAGACAATTTACAACATTCGTAGACAATACATCTGATAATGTTGTAAATTATCCAAGAATGTTGCAGTTTGTTTAAATATGTATTAAATGAACTAGTGCTTACTTTTAATTAACTTAAAACTATCACTTATTTATTATTTCTGCTTCTCATAGGTATTTTGTTCGGCAAGCATTTACTTTAAAATAAAATAAATGCATACAATTTGAACTATTTCCATGTCATTAGTTGATATTGAATGCAGTAATATTTTATGAAACTGATCTTCAATAAAATTTATAGGATGAGAGCTGTGGGGGAGCATGTCCTGAATTGCCACCTAGAAAGCCTCCGAAAAAGAAGAAACTGAAATGTAAAAAATTGAAACATAAATGCGATGACAAACCTGAAAAATGTTGCGAGGTGACGAAAGATTTTGACTGCTGCCAATCGCATGACAAGGCCAAGCAACTCGCCAAGAAAGACGAATAATAGCAAACAACTGTAAGTTTAGAATTTTGGACCAAAAGGACAACCTTTACCCTTACCCTTACCCTTACCTTAATCCTCAGCAAGTTCTAACATTTAAGATTTTATCAATGATATATTTATAAAAAATGAAACACGAAAAACGCAAAAAGAACAAAAATATTTATTTTTCTACGATTATATTTTATTTGTAACAACTTTTTTTTAAGTGTCATGAGAAATGCTGTGTTTAATGATAGTTTGAATATGTAAAAAGTAATAAGATATTTTTTTAGTGTCAATGACGAAAAGCTGTGTTTAATAAATGTACCATCAATATCTTATGCATACATTTTTGTATATTTTGTTAATTGAATTGTTTATGTAATGGATGCAGTTTTTAATCGGAACAACCGATTTGAATAGTTCAAAAAACATTCGATCCCTATTGATAGGGAGATATGCTAATTCGTTTTTGGCAAAGGCATGTCCAGCCGTTACGGAGATCAAGAGCAAAGAGTGCAGAAAATACAAATCGAGTTTTTGAGAGAACGGAGTATCGGAATTGAATAATCTAAGAAACTTTTGGCAAAGACAGGTCCCGCCATTTCGAAGATACAGAGCTAAATATGAAAAAATGGCAGTTTTTTAGTGCTCATATTGACAAAACAATTGCTTTTGAGGATAAAAAATATTACATCTTTTGTTATTTTCCATAAAATATTTTTGTAATTTTGGATAAAAATTCAAGAAATGACCCAGACTAAGCACGGTCTAAGCGCCACTCTGGTACAAATGAATTTGTACCACAGGTATCTGGTACAGAATTATTTGCAAATGCGTTTAGACTTTGACTATACTGGAGCACTTTTTCAATTTTTTACAAATTAGGCAACTATTTTTTTTTTAAATTGAATTCGAAATGAAATGACGATTGTTAATGTTCTGGAGATAAATTGATTTATGATTTACATTTGATTTGCTCAGATATAACAAGATAGCAAAAATAATGAAAGTTACAGTATTTGTAATAATATATTTGAAAACGTTTAAAATTTCTCGAATATTTCATTACGGTACGGGAAGTTCCAACAATTTGCCTTAAGGCACGATGCCATACACCACTAGTTGGTATTTGATTTGAAAAAAAAAATTCAAGTGAAACTTCTTAGTATATACAATAATAATATCTATTACTAAAATAATACCATTTGCGCACTTTACTATTATAATAGTTCTTACTTACGAATTCTAATATAATAATATATATATATATATATATATATATATATATATATATCTTATAGATAAATATTACTCTTAATTAATAGATAAATATTACTACTTAGTATTTATTTAAATTATTTATAATTATATTATTTTTAAATCTATAAATTTTTGGCCAAAGCCTTAACTCCTTGCCAAATTTCGATGCTCGTCGATTTAATTTTTTGAGATGGCAACAGGTACCCATTTTGGTGGTATCCGTCTGCCAAATTTATCTGGTAAACATATGGTATTGACAAAATGTCACTTGCGTACTCCAATGATGAACCTGAAATAAAATTAATCAGTAATTAATTAATTATCAATTTAAAAACTAATAAAACTTGAAAAATAAAAAGAAAAGAATAGGGATGAATAAAAAGTGATGGAAAGTGAAAGGAACAGTTATGTAAAATTGCTACTAGAAAATGATCGAATCGCTTGAGTTATACTTCAAAATTTAAATATTTTGTTTTTTACCTCTGGAATGTATTAATTCACTCTTATATTTCGTCTGTTGAACTTGTTCAACGCTCCTTAGAGCAATTCCGGCTAACCTCATTGCATCCGAATTTAAATTGGATTCGAATCCGAATTGGTTGTTTGAATTGCCTTGGTTTTTGTCGAATGTGGCCCAAGTTTGGCCGTAGGCCCTTAGGGATATAAAAATCTAGAAAGAAAAAATATTGTTAACTTTGCTCCTTGCAAATTTTGCTAGAATATAATAGAATTGTTTAAAACAAAACTTTTTGTTATAACATAAATAAAAACAAGTACTAAATTCATATTCCTCTCTTCGAGCCCTTTTCATTAATATATCACATGCAAAATAGTGTTCAAGATTTGCCTACTGGCAAGTTGCACGTTACACTTTTAAGTTGTATCAATATTAGTATAAATTTTTAGGTATTACAGTATAAATAGAAACAAATACTAAATTCGTATTGCTCTTTTCGAGCTCTTCAATGATATGTCACATACAAAATACTGTTTGAGATTTGCCTTCAGGCAAGTTGCTATTTTTAAGCCACAAATTTAGTTAAATAATAGTACTCATTTTTAGATTTGTCACAAAATATAAAACAAAATGAGTACTACATTTGTATTCCACTTTTTGAGACCTATTAATTGATATGTCACATAATAATTGAGATATGCCTATTGGCAAGTTGCTAGTTCAATATTTATATATTTAAATACTAAATTAAATACTAAAAATACTAATACTAACACTAAAAAAAATAGTAAAAAACAAATATTAAATGTTTGTTGCTCGTTTTGAGCCCTTTTCATTGATATGTCACATGCAAAATTTTATTCGAGAATTGCTTAATGGCAAGTTGCTTTTAATCTCGTGGTGAAAGTAAAATTTTGACATCTAAATTTTAGAAAATAATTGCAACAAAAATTGAAAAGTAATTTATTTTTTATATATTTACCTTGATCTTGTTTTTACGTTTGGCCATAAATTGGGCGATGGCCTTTGTTTCTGGTTCAGAAAAAATATTTGGACCACTGTATGTATCTGAACATCTAAAATGTAAAAAAAAAAAAAAAAATAATTAATACCACGATACATTTTTAGGAATCAACTTATTTTTCTAATCTAATTCTATTTTATTGAATATTTTACCACAAAATTTATCATTGGACTTGAAATTGAACATCAGTTTTTATGAAAATTGATCTTGAAATAATTATTTTATAAAGTTTAAACTTAAGATAAAATAATAAATAATTTATTGATGCAATTAATTTAATACTTATTTTAAATTTTATTTACATACCTATTTGTTCCTTCAACGTTCAACCCAAAATTATGCTCCAAATCGACTCCGATGCATTTTTCGGTCGAAGATTTTTCCGGTGATTGTTTTAACCACGGATAAAAATTCCTTCAAATGAAATAAATATTAACTGAGACTCTTTAAATACAGTCAAGTGCTAATTCTTACCATCCGATTAGCTTTTCCAAATTCCAACTGGAACTTTTATCGTCATTTATGTTGTACAAAGATTTGGATTTTGTCCAAAATCTGTCCTTGGAATGTGAATATTCGTAGCCATCTGGATTTGTCACTGGCATTATGTACCAGTCGCATTTTTCCAACATATCCATGTCTCTTGGAATGCCTGAGAAAGATATTTTTAATAAAAACTAGGTTTAAATGTTAATTTATGAAGGCAAGTTGCATGAACTTTGTAAATAATCGACTTAATCGAAAAGATTCTGAAAAAAAATATGAATGCTTGCCATGTCTTCTGGACCTAACACGATGCGTTTTCATACATTTTCACTTAGGCTTGGATACGCATGGTAAGCCTTATGTGGATATTTTAGTACAAATGTATTTAATTAGTTTTATGAACAAAATTTGGGTGTGAATGGTAAATATGAACACTACTAACAACTAAATCAAATCTAGAATGAAGAACTCTACTGACAAAAAGTTGATATGACAATTTGCAAAATCAAAATAAAGTCTCATGATATAAAAATATCACTGACCGAATTTAAAATAAACTGGCTGTAAGCAAACACAGATACTTTTTCCCATTTCACTGTCAAACGATTCAGATTGACTGGAAACATAAAATTCGTTGTTTTCTTACCATTTTCGACATGACCTTCCACCAAAGACTTTATAAACCACAAGGCAACCGAATTGGAAATCCATTCGTTTCCGTGAATATTGGCCAAGATTAATATTCCAGGTTTTTGCACCTTTTTCTTAGGCCTATAATATTTGCTGGGCATATAACTGTATTTTGTTGGAATTCTTTGCATTCTTAGAATCTGAAAATTGGACAAAATTTGTTAAATATATGTATATTTCACAATATTGTCCGAAAACTTGGCGAATTAAGTACATTGCATTTCAGTAGACATATTTGTGTACTATATACTCAATTTGCAATACTGTAGTTCAAACGGTGAAGTCTAAAGAGCTCTTCAAAAGCGACGCATAGAATATTTTTTCTAAGAAAATTTTATGCCCTTGCTTATAAATCTATCTCTATTTCAAAATTTTGTAAGAAAACTTTTCAAATTAGGTACATAGAATTTTAATACACAAACTCATATAATACATACTCATATAATACATACTCAATTTACAACTTTTTAAATCAAACAGTTTGTCCTGAGGAGTTCGTCAAAGTCACAAAAGTAAATGCACAATTGATGCTCTGAGATTAAATTTGTATTTAAGATAAGATTGTAAAGTATACAAAGTTGCTGTAGCGTTGAACGATATTAGACAATATTTTAAAATAACTATTTTTGTATAAATTTGCCGAATGCATCATTCATATTAATCGAATGGTTTAGAAGTTACAAGGGATGAAGCAAATTAATGCACATAAAAAATAAAGCGCTATACTAAATTGAAATTCCAATGCAAGATTTCCATGCACATTGTATTGAAAAAATCTTTGACATAGTAAAGTTTGTTTGGAAACTAGTATACTTAAAGCTCAAATTATTCGTTGCATTTCAATTGCGATTTAAAAGTATACCGAGTTGCTCTAGAGCTATGTACTATTAGAAACGTTTGTAGATTAATTAATTTTGCGTAAATTTGCCAAATATATGATTTACATCAAACAAATGGTTTTAATGTTATGACTTCTACAATAAATTAGTGCATCTTCACTAGTTACTTTTACAACTTTGCTTCCGCCATTTTGTAATACAAGTTCTTCAAAATAATGGCGGAAGCAAAGTTGTACAATTAATATG